AAAACAAAACAAAACAACTAGAAACAGTACCTACCTGATAAATTCAGGAATAAATTTGGGCTGAAATTTGGAAAGAATAAACAGTAAGTTAGAAACATATGACAAGTCTATCAAAAACACCTATCAAGACAGGCAAACTGGGTGTGGTGGTGCATACCTATAATCTTAGCATTCTAAGGGTAAAGCAGGGGGATCCCTGCACTCTCCAGACCAGTTGATGATACAGTAAGACCATCTCCACACTGTACAGAACAGAGCGAGGAGGCCACTTACATGGTGGGAGAGGTCAGCATCCATAATGATGACATAGTTTCCTGTGGCATGTTTTATTCCATGAATATAGGCAGTTCCTAAAAACCAAAGTAGTTAGACTCATTAATAAAAATAGCCAGAAGGAACTGGAGAATTGGCTCATCAGTTAAGAGCACTGGCTGCTCTTCCAGAGGACCCAGGTTCTATTCCCAGCACCTATATGGCAGTTCATAACCTCTGTAATTCTAGCTTCTGGGTATCTTCTGCCCTGTTCTGGCCTCTGCAGACACTTTATGTACATGGTACATAGACATACATGTAGGCAAAACACTCATATATAAAATTTGAAAAAGAAAACAACAACGGAAGCCCACCAAAAATGCTTAGGTCTGCATTTAAATGGGAAAAGAAATCACTTTGCATCCTAAAAGCAAACATTCGTCTTCTAAAATTGACCCTAACCAGCTGGTAACTCTCCATATTCAGTGGCACAGTTCACATGTTTTATAAACACAATCAAGAAGGTAGGTGGCCACTCATCCTTCATTCTGATGTCAACTTAAAAAAACAAAACAAAACAAAACAACAAAAAACAACAACACAAAACTAACCATTCTTGTATTTAAAATTAGTGGAAAAAAAAAGTCTAACACAAAAGTCTTTTCTTTTTTGGGGGGAGGTTTAAGTCGGGGTTTCACACTGTAGCTCAGGGTGACCTTGAACCTAGGAGACCCTTTTGCCTCAGCCTCAAACTGCTAAGTGTTGTAAAAAACAGCAGGAGAGAGACTTTGGTGAGTTGGATCTGAGGAGTCACAGGGCAGGTGAGAAAGAGACACACCATGCAGACATGGCGGCTGGCAGTCCTGGGAGGTGGGAGCTGCAGGAAAGACACACCATGCAGGCGGCACTTACGTTAAAGTTTTATTAAAGGGAGAAGGGAAAGAGAAGGGAGGGAATGAGAATGGGGGTTCTCTTAAAGGGGACTTTACATAGAATGATGTTGTCAGGATGCTGGGTGGGCCAGAATGCTAACACTAAGAGCCATCATGCCAAGCTTCCAAAGTTTCAGATCATATAAACATCATTATATGCTATGTTCCCTGGTCAACGCTCCCCCCCCCAACCCACCAAACCTTCTTCTTTTTTTTTTTTTTTAAAAGAAGATTTATTTATTATGTATACAGTGTTTATGTATGCCTGCAGGCCAGAAGAGGGCATCAGTTCTTATTACAGATGGTTGGGAGCCATCATGTGGTTGCTGGGAATTGAACTCAGGACCTCTGTAAGAACAGCCAGTGCTCTTATCCACTGAGCCATCTCTCCAGCCCCCACCAAACCTTCTTGTTAGTGCTTTAGCATCTTCTTGAAAAAGAGGCCAGGTTTCTCAGAGCTCCTTATTTACATATCAGCTTCCTAGCCACTGCCATATTATCTATTTCAGAAACCTAAAAATTTCTGGCCATCTAACAAGCTACTATGCAGGAAATGGCACCAGGTGTGCTACCCACACCCAGGGAAGGCTGAGCTCCTGCCTCTGCCAGTGACTCCCCACTGTGATTCCAAGGCATACTGGCTGTATATCCCAACCATCTTTTAACTGCCTACTCTGTCTCCACATTCACAGTGCCCCAGGCATTACCTTCTGGTCCCAGTTTCATTTCCCAGCCAGTTTCCCTCCTGCTCTTCCTGCACTCCAAATCAGGTTCCAAAGGAGCTGTCTATTCAAGGTCAACTGCAATTTGCCAGGTACAATAGGCCCTACTAGAGTATGTGGCCAGGGGCCCAGCTATCTTATTTTGCTATCTCTGTGCACAAAGTCTCCCATTCAGAACCTGGTTGATTAGTTATGCCAGGAGGACTGGGAATGCCTGCATTCTCTATCCTGAGCACCATCACAATCCACAACCAGGTTGCAATGGCCGACACCAGTTGAGCATTATAAAATGAGAGACTTTTTGATTTTTTTTTTAAAAAAAGGTTTGTGTTTTTTTGTTTTTAGAGATTTATTTATTTATTTTATGTATACAGTGTTCTGTCTGCACATATCCCTGTAGGCCAGAAGAGGGCGCCAGATCTCATTACAGATGGTTGTGAGCGACCATGTGGTTGCTGGGAATTGAACTCAGGACCTTTGAAAGAGCAAACAGTGCTCTTAACTTCTGAGCCATCTCTCCAGCCCAACTTTTTGATTTTTTAACATTTTTTTTAAATTTATCTATTTATTAATTTTTTTGAGACAGGGTCTCACTATGTAGCTCTGGCTAGCCTGGAATTTGTTATGTAGACCAGGCTGGCCTCAAACTCATAAAGACCACCTGCCTCTACTTACTGAGATTAAAGGCTTGCACCATTAGATCTGTCTAGAGAGGCTTTTCAATGTTTCAGCTACTGAGAAATGATGTGTCTGAGGTGACAGAAATGCCAAGTCCCTTGACCTGATTCTTGCAGACTGTACACAGAAGCTAGTGTCACAGCGTGGACATTTGCTATGGATCCATGAAAGCAGAAACAAGTTTTAAAAATCAAACATCACAAGCATCTCATTTAGAGCACTGAGTTTCCTAACAAATTTGACTGACTCTAATGTTTTCACTGACTGTTCAAAAACTCTTTGTGGCTTTTTTTTTTTGGTGGCATTTTCCAGATCATTTCAATCTCAAAGAATCCTGTGGACTTAGAAGTTTAAGCATTTGATGCTACTAGCAAGCTCATTCTTCAGGACAGAACCTTTCCTTTTTCCCTCTTCCATTCGTGTTTGCATGCTTGTGTGCATGTATGTTTTCCCTCTTTCTGGGAATGAGGTATGCATGTGTGAGCATGTGGAGGTCCAAAGTTGATGGTGGAAGTCATGCTCAATCCTTCTTTCACCTCATTTATTAAAGGCAGGATCTCTCAAGCAAACTCAGAGCTCACTGATCTGGCTAGTCTCACTTCTCCTGCGGCTGAATTACAGGTGAGCTACCACGTACACCCAGCATTTCTGGAGATCTGAACTCTGGTCCTGGTACATGTGCAAGTACTGAACTGTTGAGCCATCTCTCCATCTTAGCAGCTTCCATCTGTTAAGAACTATGAAAAGAAGGCATTTCAAGTCTCATCTCAGAACCACTGGGCCCATTTGAAATACTCTAGAACATCGATTCTCAATCCATGCATGGGTCGCAACCCCTTTGGGGGTCAAATGACCCTTTTAATAGGGGTCGAATATCAGATATTCTGCATATCAGATATTTACATTATGATTCTTTTTTTTTTTCCCCAGACAGGGTTTCTCTGTGTAGTTTTGCGCCTTTCCTGGAACTCGCTTTGGAGACCAGGCTGGCCTCAAACTCACAGAGATCCGCCTGCCTCTGCCTCCCGAGTGCTGGGATTAAAGGTGTGTGCCACCACCGCCTGGCTACATTATGATTTTTAACAGTAGAAAAATTAGTTGTGAAATAATTTTATGGTTGGGATCACCACGACACGAGGAACTATATTAAATGGTCAAAGCATTAGGCAGACTGAGATCCACTGCTCTAGAATGCTGTTTTAGGTGGAAACTTTTTCATTCTTAGAAATAATCACCTTTTAGACTTACCATTTAAAGACTTTGCAAAGTATATACTGGTCCAAGATGTGCACCCTCAGACCCTGGCTCTCCCTTTACCTAGGCTACATTACACGGAATCCCACTTCCCAGGTTCTTGTCACTTGTGTTCCAGACAGTTGTGGGAAGCACAAGTGAAGACTGCCAGGGGAAGCCAGGGACATCTAAGTAACCCCGTCTGCATGGCCTCTAGCAGCATCAACTGGCCAGCTTCCACAGTTCCACTTTCAGCAACCTTCGTCCCTCCCCACACTCTGCTTCCTCTACCCAGAGCAGGCTTCTGGGCCCTACCATACTCCACCTTCCAGCCTCCCCACCCCACTCCTGCTCCTCAGCAGTCAGTTACCCCTCTCCTAGTAGCTCAGCTTTGTATCAGGCTTCTGAACAATTGTCTCCTTGTTAACTAGAATCCCTGTATTAAACATCCTATTTAGACAGAAGTAGTGGTTTATGTTTCGCTGAGTGGGTCCTGACTGACACAGGCAACCTAAGTAAAACCATCAGGATGTCACAAAGATCACTAAAGGCCATCACAGCTGACTGTACTTGGGCCCTTTTCCAAACTGGGAAAACACAGAGGCAAATATGACTAGGTCAAACAACAGGAAAGGGCTGGAGCCCCAACTTACCAAGGCCCAGCTTTTTCTCTCGTGGTCTTAGGAGCTACAAGACAAAGAAATAACATGTCAACACAAAAAGACAAAAATATTTTAAATTTCATTTTATTCCCATAAATGCATACTCAAGATTATACTTCCAGGGATCTTTCTTAACTTTGTTACTATAAATGCAATCTCACTGAAAAAGATTATTGAATTTATTAGACCTTGAAGTGGAGTATGTTCAACATTTTTGACCAAAGCCAAATAGGTATTTGGGGGCTGGAGATGCAGCCTAACATGCATGAAGAGCCGGCTCCCTCCTGAGCACTATATACTGTGGTGTACCACCAGCAGTACCAGTGTCTGAGAGGCAGGGTCAAGCACCAGGAGCTCCAGCTCAGCTGGTCTGAGTTAACCCAGACTCCGGGATACCTACTTCTAACAACAAAGCAAAGACAGCAGCCACCACACCAGCCAGTTCAATGCACCCCCCCCTTTTTTTTTTTTTTTTTTTTTTTTTTTTTTTTTTTAAGATTTGTGTTTGTTTTTCAAGACAGGATTTCTCTGTGTGACAGTTCTGGAACTCACTCTGTAGACCAGGTTAGCTTCAAACTCACAGAGATCCTCTGCCTGCCACTGTCTTCCAAGTGCTGGGATTAAAGGCATGGGCTACCACACCCAGTGTTTTTTAGATTTTTAAATTTTATTTTATGTGTTACGAATTTTTGCCTGTGTGTATGTCTATGTACCATGTGCATGCCTGGTGCCCATGGAGGCCAGAAGGAGGTGTGGGAGTCACTGGAACAAGAGTTAGGAATGGTTGTGAGCTACTGTGTGGGTGCTGGGAATCAAACCCAGGGCCTCTGCAACAGGAAAAAGAACTTTAATTCTAATCTTACAGTAAAATTTTTACATGTCCCCCACTTCTGGTTCCACTCTTATAGGAAACAGAATTATCTTCACATCGATCATACTTTTTGTTGTTGCTGTGTTTTTGGAGACAGGGTGTGTATCTCACTGTGTATCCCTGGCTGGCCTGGAACTCACTCCATAGATGAGGCTGGCCTCTGCTTCCTAAGTGCTGGGATTAAAGACATGCACCACATCTATCCTTTTTACAAGCACTCGTTGATTCATTTTTAGAAAAACTGAGCCTTTAACAAATCATTCTACAGCTTTCCAAAGCTTTGGGTGTCATTTTTCATCTTCCCAAACTTTAAACACTATGGCCACCCCTTCTCTTCTGCCAGCTTAACCATGCCTTGAATGACTGACCCTGTTTTCTACTGCTCTGATAACATAGCCAGTTGCTTTTTTGTTTTGTTTTGTTTCCTTGTTTTTCAAAACAGGGTTTCTCTGTGTAACAGAGTCTTGGCTGTCCTGGAACTTGCTCTGTAGACCAGGCTGGCCTTGAACTCACAAAGATCGGCCTGGTTCTGACTCCCAAGTGCTGGGATTAAAAGAGTATACTACCACATTCAGGAAGTTATGTGTTGAGGCCATCCTAGACAACTTAGTGGTAAGACACTGTCTCGAAGAATAGAAAGAGAGCTGGTGATATAGCTCAGTGGTAGAGCATCTGCCTAGCATGTGCAAGGCCTGAGGTTCCGTTCTCCAGTATCACAGGGAAAAAGATCTAGTTTTCTTATGGTGATGAACTACCATTTCTTGAAAGGCAAGTAAGTGTCCAGAGAGTCTCCAAAGACTTCTGTGTCTCTGACAATGGTTCTCTATCTGGAAAAGGGATAATGTTGTCCTCAAGGGAACATGAAACAACTTCATTTCAACTTGCCAAGAAGGGAGGGAAGCTGCTACTGGCATCTTGTGGGTAGAGTTCAGAGATGCCACTAAATATCTACAATGAACAGGACAGGTCCCCACAGTAAATCATCCAGCAATGTGTGCAAACCAAGAACCCCTGGACTGCAGTGAGCTGCAAACACAAATGAGAAATGCAAGCTGACACCAGAACATGTTCCATAGTTAAGTCTACACTCAACTGTGCACTTTTGGTCCGAGCTATCCAAAGTAGGATTCACAAATATCTTGAAAGATTTAAAACCCAACTAGTAATAAAAAAAGACACAACTCACAGCAACTGTTGGTGAAGCCACAGCTACGCTGTGCCTTTCTGTACATGTGTGCTGTGGAGATTGTTCTGTATAGATAAAATGCTGACTGGCCATTAGCTAGGGAGGAAGTATAGGTGGGGCAAGCAGAAAAAAGAATTCTGGGAAGTGGAAGGCTGAGGCAGAGGGATGCTGCCAGCTGCTGCCATGAGAAGATGTAAGGTACCAGTAAGCCACGAACCACGTGGCAACTTATAGACTAATAGAAATGGATTAATTTAAGATAAAAAAAAAACTAAATAACAAGAAGCCTGCCATGACCATATAGTTTATAAGCAATATAAGTGTCTGTGTGTTTACTCGGTTGGGTCTGAGCAGCTGC